GAGAGGAGGCGCGTCCACCTGGCGGTCCAGGCGCATGGAGCAGCAGTAGCGGCGGCGGCGGCGGCGGCGGCGGCGGCGGCAGCGGCAGCAGCCCCCTGACTGCAGTCGCCCCTTGCAGCCCCGCTGGGCCCCAGAGCTTTGCCTCGCCTCGCCTCGCCTCGCCTCGCCTCGCTTTGCCTCAGGAACCAGCCCGCGAGGTGAGTGGCCTGGATGCCATCCAGTGCCGGGGCCCTGCCCTGCCCTGCCCGGCCCCGGGCGGCGGCGGCGGGGGCGGGGGGTGCGGGTGCCACCGCTGCTGCTGCATGCAGCTGGAGGAGGGAGGCAGCGAAGGCAGGCAGCAGGGCGTGTGAGAGCGGGAGCGAGGGCGGGAGCGGGAGCGGGAGCGGGAGCGGGCGCGGGAGCAGGCGCGGGAGCCTGAGCCCGAGCCCGGCCGCCGCGGGCACCGAGCCCCGCGCTCGCCCTCCCAGGCATTGCAATCTAGGAAAGGCCCCGTTCGCTTTCAGCCGCCTGCCTGCTTGCCTGCCTGGCCCGGGAGGGGGAGGGGAAGTGCTGGGGGCCGCGGGAGCCGCGGGAGCCGCGCGCGCGCGCGCACGCACACACTCACTCACACTCATACACACTCACACACACTCACCCAGATACACGGCCACACGGGCCGGCACATACACACGGCCACGCACACGCAGGCACACACAGAGAGACATGGACACGCGCGCGCGCCTGCTGCGCTGCGGGCACCAGGCTGGCTCCCGAAGCCCGGCGTCGCCGCGCGCGCCTTTCGCATCCCTCCCGGGCTGGGGCCGGAGCTGGGGGAGGGGGCCCGGAGAGTCTCCCACCCTCCCCATACCCAGCCGCCCTCCCTTCCGGGATCGGCCATCCCTCGTGACAATTGGCACGGGCCCGGTCCAGCCCAAGCCGAGCCGGGCTTGCGGTCCGGCGCCGCCCCGCACAGCCCCGGGGGGCCGCTGACCGGGAGTGCGGGTATGGTGGGCGGGCGGGCGCGCGGTGCTGGCCGCCTGCTGCTGCTGCTGCTGCTGCCGCCGCTGCCGCTGTGCTGTGGAATCCAGCGCTTGCAGCATGACTGCCTCTGCCTGCTTGTGGGCTGCCCGTCCCCCCAGAAGCTCCCCAGCAAAACACAAAACAACCAAAAACAACCCACCACCCACCCATTCCTTCCAATTGCAGCGTCGGCTGGTTTGAGGAGTATTTGGACCCCGCTCCCCACCGCATCTTTAGCTGTCTGGCCTCTTGCTGTTGTTCGTTGCGGGATATCTGTGCTGAGGCACTATTTTTTTTTTTTTTTTGCGTGTTCTGGTTGGAGGGGGGGTGCTGTAAATATGGGGTTCCCTGCACTTTGACCCGGGGCTTGTATTTCTCTTGCTGTTCTTTGGCAGAGGGGGCAGGAGCTAGACAGGCATACACTGGGCCGGGGCGGTGGCAGCGGGGGCGGCTTCTGCACCCGGACCGCCCGGCGGCCCAGCGCCCTAGCACCCAGCTCTCTCTTCTCTCTTCTCTCTCTCTCTCTCTCTCTCTCTTTCTCTTTCTCTCTCTCGTCCCTGCTTTCCACGCTGGCGAACATATGCCTGGGGTTTTATTTACCGCCATGACGTTCCATGGCTTGAGAAGAATTTTCCCTTCTTTAAAAGGTATTTTTAGAAGGGAACAGAAAAGTCCTAATGAACTGTCATTTTACATATTAACCGGGAAACTGGCTAATCAAATAAAACTGGCTGACTGTCTGAAACTCTATCCCAGAGAAAAATGCGGCTGGGAATATAATTAGCCATCTGTCTACTGAGCAATTTAAATTTGGGCCCGGACATCTGTATTACAATGTCCAATTTTTGGAAGCCTTGGACATTTACCCAGCAGTGACAACAAAAAGGGATTTGCTGACTTAAGTTTTGAGGTTTGACCTGTGCATGCGTTATTCCTTCACTTCCCCCTTCTCCCACCCCATCCTCTTCTTGGAGCCTAGACTTGACCCCCCCCCCCCAAGCCGACCGGGTTGAGAACCGATCCCTCTTGCTTGGCAGACTGCAGTGTTGGCAATGGCTTAACTGGTTGGATGGGGCTACAGGTTCCACTGTTTTACGTCTTGGAAGTGGCATCTGCAATTTGACCTCCCAGAGGAAGGAGATTGATTGCATGAATACTAGCGGTGGGATAGACGTTCCTTTTCCCATCGGTTCAGATTGAGCAGCAGACAGGGAGGAAGGGAGTGGGATGGGAATCCACCAAATATCTGAAATCGTGGAATCGGACCTACTTCTGCCCTCCCACCTAGGGCTTATTTGTAAAACGAGGGAGTCGGCAGAGATGATCTCTGTGGTCCTTTCCAGCCGTGACATTCTAGGTCTGTCTGACTTTAGCCCCCTAGCGCTTTCTCCCTCCCCCTCCTTCCAACTCCCCTCCCCCCAACTCGTCTTTTCTGGTCGTTTTGTCAGGTTATCTTGTAGCTGTCAATATTCCGATATGTGGGTTTAGCAGTGTATTGGGTACCTGCTGTTCGGCTGAGACCAGGATGTTAAAATGTGCGAGAAAGGGCATTGTCCACAAATCTCCCCGTCTCTCCCTCGATCTTTTTTTTTTTTGTTTGTTTGTTTGGTTTTGTTTTTGTTTTTTGTTTTTTTTTGCCTGCTAAAATTAAACCAGAAAATATTACTATAGAGAAAAAGGGACCAATTTGGATCGGGGTAGAGACGGCACCAGGAGGAAATGATTTAAGAGAACTTCTCCGAATATCCAGAATATGTCAGAATGTCAGAATATAATTAAAATGAGCCACAGAACGACTGTGCAGCCGGCTAGAGAAAGCCATTTAAATAAAGGCACACTTTTCAAACAAACATTTGACTAAATAACGAGCCTTGATAGATGGGTAACAATTATGTAAGCACGTGGCAGATTTTGACATCCATCAAGTCTATTAAATAAATCAACCTGCTTGGTTGAAGAAATCTGGGGTGCAGCCATGCTTTATTAAAAAAAGGAAAAAAAAAGCCGCAACCTCAGAACTCGAGTCAAAGCCAGACAAACCCCTCACACTGGGAGCTTTCTCTCTGTCTCTGTGTCTCGCCCAATCTAATGATTCACGATTCCCACGACTCACTGGGATAGTCGTGCAGTCGGAAGGAAGCTTATACTGTGGGGATAGTGGCGAGATCAGAAAACTGATAAGGATGGAAAGCCTGCTGGGGACTGGGGGTCAGAAACCAGGACATCTGGATTCGAGTCTCCAAGGACAGACTTTGCCACTTACTAGCCACGTTACCTTGGGCAAGGCGTTTCCCCGTTCTGAGCCTCAGTTTCCCCATCTGTAAAAAAAATCGGCATACTACTGCTTGCTCTCCTAGGACAGTCGTGGGTGCCAAATGTGACAATAGAGGTTAAGGTTCGATGGAAATGTCACCTCTTCTGGCTGATATTTCGAGACTCCCGGGGCCCACGGTTTCCTTGCTCTAGGTGCTCCCTCCACTGATATACGTCTAAGCCCCTTCGCACTTGGGAGTTGCTGCAGCTGAAAACATTTATCACCCTGGGGCTGACCTTCTGTTGCTAAGCCTCTGTCCTCACTCAGCTCAGCCCAGCCTCGCCCGACAGACAGTCTCTTGGTGAGCCTGTTAGTACTTGCCTGGCTTCACTTCCAAGAGCCCAGGGTCACCTCCACACCACTGAGAGGCGTCAGAGGGGACTAATAGTGGGCTGTTCGTGCTGATGATGCATTATTTTATTTTAGATTAAAACATTATGAAATAATTATATGAAACATTATAAAATAAAATAAAATAAAATAAAACGTGAAATAAAACTGTTAATGATCCTAACACAAAGAGGTAGTGGGGTGGGATGGTGCAAAGAATCGAGGGGGGGCCCCCACCGGGAATCCTAAAGAAACAGGTTTAGAGCTGAACACCCCTAGAGAACATCTAGTCCAAGCGCTCCCTTTTTCAGAGAAGGAAACTGAGGCGCAAGGTGCCACAGTGTGAAAGCTGGGACTCCAACTCTAGTCTGGAACTCTTGTCCCGCTTTCAGATCCCAGCTCTGCGATTTACTAGCTACTTGGTCTTGGGTGGGTCACTTCTCCCTCTGGTCCTTAGTTTCCCCTTCTGTAAAAGGAGGGGGTTGGAGTAGATAATCTCACAGTTGCCTTCCCTTCCAGCCCGAAAGCGCCTAATCCTTTGTATTTTCCATGAATTAATTAAGTGGCGTTAGGTCTGGAGGGAGGATTTGCTGTGTAGTAGTAGTACCTTGGTCCTGTATCGTGGCAGGGCTGGGGGATAACGATTTTTCCCCAAGGGAGGAGAAGGAGTAGGTCCTGGGTGGCCCTAGACTCTGATACAGTCTTGTTCACCTCTCATACCCAGCTTCAGGCAAAGAGAGTTGAATTAGGGACTGGGGTGGGAAAGGGGGAGATAGGGCTGCCTCACTCCACCGGTTTGCCCTATTCCCTGAAGCTTCAGATATTCCAAAATGTGGGCTCTGTACTTTTTTGTCCCTTTTTTTTTAGTCCTCTCTGAAAAATTGCCCGACAGCTCAATGCTTGGAGATCTGCCGCTGGGGGGGGGGGGGGGGGGGGGGATAGGGGGTGCTTTCTAAGTCCTAGTTAATTAGATTGGCTCCTGCATCCTGGGCTTGCCCTGCTCCCTCAGGCGCCTCTTTCTTATTCAGAAAATCACTTTTTAGGCAGAAGATAATGTTTTTCTGAGTCTCTTTACCGAGCACCGAGCCCTCCCCCCTCCCCAGCATCGAAACCCGTGTAACTTTACTCTTAAAGTCATAGGTCATAGGAGGGAACTTCAGAAGTCATCTAGACCACCCTCTTTGTTTTACAGATGGGGGAGCTGAGGAACAGAGATGGGTCATAATTTATCCCAATCAGTATGTCAATCGGTGTGGCAGGGCCAGGCTTCGAGCCCAGAACCTCTGATCCCGAATTCAGTCCTCTTTCCATTCCAACGTGTTGCTGTCTGACTCCCTCATTTTGCAGGTGAGGCACCTGAGTCTCAGAGAGGGGAAGTGACTTGCTCAAGGTCACACAACCAGGAGGTAGAAGAAGCAGGACTCCAGCCCCAGGACTTGTGACTGTGAAGTGAAGAGTTCTTGATACTGAAGCATACCACCTCGAGCTCTAGGAGCCAAGCCCAGGCCCTCCTTGTTCTCTGAGTGGTCTCTCTTCGGCCTTCGAGGGGCCTACCTGCAGGTGAGGAGGCCCTCTTTGGGCATGTTTCTGCAGCCTGTTCCCTTTCTTTCCCATTACCTGCCCACAATTTTGACCTTTGCCTCCATAGTAACCTCATTGTTCCTTTGGTGTCTCTCTCTGTAGCCCAGGGCTCTGGCCTGCCATCTTTCTCTCTTTCCACTGGAGAAGGCACTGAAGTGTTTGGGACCAAGTAAGTACTGAGCTCCCATTTCCTTTCCCCGTTGCCTGGTGCTGGCACCACAAAATCTTAGGACTTGAAATTGTAGCCATTGCAATGTTCACCTCTGTCACATTGGAGGTTTTCAAATTGATTTCCCTCATGCCATAGGGATTGCAAAAATGATTGGTTCCATTTTACTGCTGAGAAAATGGATGCAGAACACAAAAAGTGGCAAAGATGAGAACTACCTCACATTTCCATAGCACCATAAAGTTTGTGTAATATTTTTCTTACCATACAACTGTGAGAGAGAGGTGTTTGTTGACTCCATTTTACTGATGAAGAAACTTAAGCCTAGAGTTCATCTACTCCGTCCCTCTGCCTTGAGTCTTTCCTCACCTGCTCCAGGCAATTCTCTGCCCTCTACTTAAATATGCCTTGGAAATAATGTTATTGCCTCTCTCGGCAGTCTCTTACCATGGAATGACCCATGGATTTGGGCTCAGAGAACCTGGGATCAAATACCACTCCTGCCACTTGCTACTTCTGTGACCAGGGGCAAGTCCCTTCCCCTCCCTGGGCCTCAGTCTTCCCACCTGTAAATTGAGGCGGTTGGACTCAGTGACCTCAGAGGTCTCTTCCAGCTAAAAATCTACGATCCTCTCGGAAGCCTCTCGGAGGCCAAGAAGCTATTACCATTGGTTAAGTGGAGGGGGTTAGCTCATGTATCGAAGGGAGCAGGTACAAGGGCTTCCTTGGTCTTTCTTGTTTCATGATAAGAATTTTTGGAAGATGTTTTTTCCTTTATTGTGCCATTGGCACTTTCCAGTGGCTCCCTATCCATAGACCCCTCCTTCATAACAAAGGGGGCCCACCAAGCCAGGCCAGCCGACACAGGGAGCACAGTTGGCAGGGTCTGCCCGGTGACCTCTCTTATTTTTCTGCTGTTCCTTGGGCCTCTGGAAGGCAACTTTAAATCCAGCCCAGTGTTTTTCCTTGTGGGACTTGTATAGAGGACAGCAAAACTGGGGAGAACTGGGCACCCCAGTAGGGTCTCATTGTTTGTGGCCACGTTGTCATACTGAGCAAACCAAGATCAGAAATGCTCTTGGGGCCTTGGCTCACTAGCTCCGAAGTGCATGGTTGGGTGGAAAGAGCACCAGATTTGGGAATCCCACCTCATGGGTTCAAATCCTATATGCCTCACTTCTTGTGGGACCTGCCTTCAGAAAGCCATTTTCCCTGTCTGCGCCTCAGATTCCCCGTCTCTTCAATGAGGACGGGGGAGTAAATGATCTCTCAGGGAAGGTCTTCTAAAGCTATGACTTTATGAACTCACTGTCTCCTCAGTATTGAGGGTTAGAGACAGAGGGGGAAGGACAGTACAGAATAAAGGGAAGCAAGTGTTTATATTTCCATGGGATATGAGGGTAGGGATAGTAATCGTTCCAATTTCTAGATTTTTTTTTTTTAGGCTTACGTAGTGCTTTCCTCACAAAAGTCCTCGGAAGTATATAGTGTGAATATTATTATCTCCATTTTACAGATGAGAAAACTGAGGCATCCCTGAATCTTGTGATTGTGAGGTACCACAATCATTCTCGAGATAGATGCATGAGCTGCTCCTCTGGGCTTATGGAAAAAAAAAAAAAAAGCAGAACTGATTGGTGTGTAGCCCTTCCTGGAGGCAGGGAGATGGACAAAATGGCCTCTCAAGGTACTTTCTAGTCACAGAATCACCCAATGTTAGACCTATAAGGGACCTTGGAGATCATCTAGTCTAACCCCCTTATTTTATAAGTATGGAAACTGATCATAGTCAGTCACCCAACCGGCATTACAAATGAGTTGCTAGGATTTTGGAAACAGTATTTATCTTGTCTACAGTGTGGTCTGAGCACCCAGTGTTGAACTTAGAAAATGCCAAAGGTTTTACTGTCTCTTCTAAGTGAAGGTCGGCCCAACTCCAAGTCAGCCCCCATTTGTTTGGCTCCTCCTGCTTGTTGGAGGGGAACGGGAAGGGATCTGTGTCCTCCAGGAGGTCTGTCAGCTGGCATCGGGACAACATCTGGTTCCTTCCTCAGGAGGGTCTCCACACAAGACCAACAGTTGAGTTCTTTTCATTTCTTTCTGCTCCCCCTCTGTACCCTAAGCTTGTGTTTTCTAATGTTTTATTCATAGAATGTTAGAGTTGAAAGGAATCTTAGAGAATTATCTAGCTAAGCAACTCTGCCTCACTTAAGTCCCATTCACTTGAGAGTCAAGACATCACCCCGTGAGGTCTTTGGTCCTCTTTGAAAACCAAGGACAAACCCACCATGACATTTGACAGTTGAGGAAACTACTACACAGAGACTGATAGTGAGTTGTTCAAGGTCATATATGCAACAGGGCTGGAGTGTGAGTTCAGGTCCTTTGACTCTAAATCCTTGTCCTTTCTGCTGTATCTGAGGTGCTCAAAACCTTTTCCCCTCCTTGTTCTAGTACTACAGAAAAGAGCTGATAAAATCCAAAAGAATTCAAATGACTATTTCTCTTCAGTTTAGAAAAACTTCTGCCCCTATACCCCTGCCCCAATTAGCCTTCCTAATTATGTTTAGGTTGATAGTATAACGAGTTTACATTTCCTCAGGCTTCACCTGCTACCATTGGGAAGAAAGGAAGTGGTCCCTGAGTGTGAATATGCTGGGTGGGAGATGGAAGTTAGTCTTAACTATTTTTCTCAGGGGTCACCCATACCACTGATATCGACACAGGAATCGACTGAGGATTGCCATTTAAAATGGAAACTTGAGCATGTCTTTCTGCGGGTGTGTGGTGCAGTAACCTGGATGTCTTGGTCTTAGATATTCGCTGACACTGCTATTCTCTTCCAGGAAATATCACCGTCAGAGGGAGCTGTCAGGCACACCATGTTTGAGATGTGAAAGCACCTGGGTGATGAATTGGGGCTGGGAGGTGGGGAAATCGAAGCAAGACAAATGGGATGGAGTTTCATAAGCCAATTCTTCCCATGTAGGTATTAACTTAGAAGAATCAGTACCAGCCATACCCTGATGCCAGCTATTGTCGAATAAACGTATTGGTTCTACAGTTCCGAAAACCAGAGCACTATATAGCCTGGGGACCTCCTTGTCCCGGGTGTTACGATCTCATCCACAGTTGTCTTTGGGAGTAGATGGTGTCTCTCTTGGAACCTGCCCATTAAAGTCTGGGTCTAGGGAGCTGGGAGCTTTGTTGTGTTTGTAATTCTGGGAGAATAAGGATCTTTGGAACCTGATCCATTAGTCTATATCTACTCTTCCCAAGGGAGAAGGAAGTTCTCTCACAAAGCCTTTCCACTTTCTCCCAGCTGCTATTTTCTTCTCAACTTGCTTGTGATTAATTAGCCTGCAGGGCTTTAGCCCAGGGACAGAGTCCCTGGCTTACCTGGGTCTGAACCAGATGTCTCCTCCAGCCTTTAGTTGCTGAATAACTGGGACAAATTCCTGAGATGTCGCCACTCCCTGAGCATATGTGGGGAACAATCAGAGCTGCTCACATTTAACTAGCATGTGAAGGCTGAGGCAACCAGCAAAGTCCTGGAACTAGGCCTCGAACCCAGGCCTTTTGGTTCAGATGCCACTGTTCTGTAACTTCCAGCTTTGTGAGTGAAAGGATGTATCCAGAGGGAGCTGCAGTTGTAAAGCACTATATAAATGTCTGCTCTTACTGCTTGTATTACTTCATGGGCATTATAGAATCCATCCAAAAAAAGCATAGTCTACTGATTCTTCCTCACCACCCAACAAATCAACCGAATTTCCACAGACATATCTTGGTTTCTTGTAAGCAGAGGATCATTGATTTTAGAGTTGGAAGGAACCTTAGATCACAGGTTGCCAGAGCTGGGTGGGACTTTAGAGCATGGAACATAGCATGCTGGACCTGGGAGGGACCTTAGCACATGGAACACAGGTTGCCAGAGCTGGGAGGGGTTGTAGAATGCAGGAGAAACATTTGCTGGAACATGAGAGACAGACCCTTCTTTAGAAAACTATCTGAGGACAGTGGTGTCAAATACGTGGAAGCAAAGCCACTGAGCCTTCCCTTGGGGGCTGCATATGGCCTTGGTTTGAAATTTTAATATCTCTGTTTTATTGTCTTTTACTTTGTTTTGTCCAATATTTCCTGATGCCATTTGCATCTGGTTTGGGCCACATTTGGGCCTGTGTTTGACCCCTCTGCCCTACGAGTCTCTTTGCTAATTGCAACACAGAAATACAGAGCCTCAAGGACCTGAGATATAGGGCTAGAAGGGACCTGAGATCATCATGTCCACCCTTCTCATTTTACAGATGAGAAAACTGAGGCACAGAGAAGGTAAGTGATTTGACCAAGGCCACACAACAAGTTAGTGTCTGAGGCAAGATTTGAACCCAGGCTTCCCTGACTCAGAGTCCATCACTTGACCCATTGCAGCTCTTTTCTGCCTCTAGACCCTCAGAGTTAGAAGGCCCCGGAGGCCTGTATAGTCCATCCTGGGCTGGAACAAGGAGCCCCTGGAGAACACCCTCCAAAAGTGGCCATCCAGGCATCCCTCCCCCTCCTTCGAGCCTACCTCAGTGTGTTCCTTCATGTTGTTCTCTCGCTATGCGTCTGTTAACTGGTGCTGACATCCAGCGAGTTGCTTTTTTTCCTCTCCAAACCATTTAATGCGTATTTCCTTCCTGGGTCACCATCGAGTCCATCGGCTCCACTGCTGCTCGATCAGTTTTCCTCAGTACTGGCCTCTCAGGCTCCTGGCTCCTCTGCTTCAGTTTCCCTGCCCCTTGTTTCTGCCTGCTTTGTGTCTAATTTGCTGCTCTGCTCCTGCCCCATGACCCCCTGCTCCGAATTCCTGCAAGAAGCATCGATTGCTTCCAAACTCCCATTTTGCACTGTTGGTGGCTATGAAAACAGAGCACTCAGAATCTCCGAGGGCATTTAGGCCAACTGTGGCCCGTGCAGGAGGCTCTTTGATAACAGCCCAGACAGGTGGTCAGGCAGCCTCCGTTTGGCCACCTCCAGTGAAGGGAAAGCCCTGAGCTCGGCAAAGCAGCCCTTTGCATGCAAGGGCAGGCAGCTCGAACTGGCAAAATGTTTTCCCTTATGTGGAACCTCAACCTGCCTCCCTCCTCCTCCCTCTCTTTGCTCCTAGCTCTGCCCTCTAGGGCCACATGGTAGGGAGGGCGTCTTCTACTGAGCAACCCTTCAGATACTTAAAGATAAGTTTCTTTTTTTTTTTTTCCCCCAAACTAAACATCCGTACTTTGGTCAATTCAGGCTTAGGCAGCATGATCTTCCTCCAGATGTACCTTGGTTTGCCTTTGCCTTGGTCCTTCCCAGAACTGCCCGTGCTGATCCAGAAGTGGTCTGACCAAGACAAGAGTAGAGAAGGAGGCTTGGCTGATTTGAATGCAGCCTGAGTTGGCTGACTTGTATTGAGCTTGCAATTCCCTAAGACCCCCAGATCTTTTTCAGACAACTCGCCTAAACATGCCTCCCCTTTCTTGTACCAGGGAAGCTGAGGTTTTTTTTTGGGGGGGGGTGATCCTAATGTCTTTATCTTGTCCTTGATGGCAGGTTTAGTGAGAACAGATGGATGGATCGGGCAGATCTCCTTCCCTGGGCTCCTTTGAGATTTCTGAATCTTTAGGAAATGCTAGGTAAAGGGCTGCTTCTAGAGCACTGGATTACCATCTGACCCCACCCCCACCCCCAGGCTACAGAGGACTCCATCTGTGTCTGGAAGTAGGCAGATCTCTGGATAACTGGTGGTTTTCTTAGCTCCCACTCTTCGAACTTTAGTGCTCATGGGGTTTAGGAGTCCATGGAGTCCTTGGGCTAGGAGGACTCTGGAGGAATAACCCACACCTGCCCTTAAGACACCCTTGTTCTTACATAGGATCATAGAATGGAGAGCTAAGAAGGGCGTTCGAGATCATCTGGGCTGACCCCTTTATTTGGACCTCAGAGAGGTTGAGTAATTTACCCAGAGTCCTACATCTAGTAAATGACAAAGCCAGCCCGGATTTCAGACCCACTTTCCCTTCCTCCCAAGCTGGTGCTCTTACAATCTCATGTGGTACAGAGGAATATTTTTTTGGCTTTTGATTGGTTGTCTTCATGTCTTCGATTGTTTGTTTTTTCCCTTTCCTGCCCATCCCTTTCAAAATTCAGCAGTTTTTCATTCATTCAAGAAACATTTGCTAAGCACCTATTTTGTGCCTATATCAGGCTTGGCACAGGAAGAGATGCAAATTTCTCGGCCCTACCTTGCAGTTGCTTTTCCAGTCTGGTAGGGGAGGTAAAAGAGGAAGTGTGGCATAGTGTGGAAAGAACATTGGATTGGGAGTCAGAGAACCTGGGCTCAAAATCTGGCTCTCTTATTGCCCAGAATCAAAGAATCTTGGAGTTGAAAGGAACCTCGCTCTCATCCTGTCCATCCTTAGCTGAATAAGATGTCTAAGTACTTATCCACTTGCTAAGGGTATGACCTCGGGCAAGTCACTCCCTATTTCTGGGTTTCCCTTTCCCCACCTGCAAAAAGACGGTGTTGGACTCCATCCAACCTGCTTCAATCTGCAAGATCCCCTCCACCTCTGTTTCTTATGACCTTAGGACATATGTACCGATAACTACAACTCAAATGAGAATATGGGAAGTACAGAAGAGGAATCAAGGTGCTTTGAGAGTAGATGAAGGAGAACTCCCTCACAACCAGGAGAATTCAGGCTAGACCTCCTGGAGGATGTCAGTAGGGAGAGATGGGCAGGGTGGGGGACAGGGAGGCTTCATCTTTGTTATCCCAGTTGGCCTGCTGGCCAACAGAAATGCTGCCGTGTCCCTGACTGGGTGGAGAGATGATTCCCCAGGCAGTGTACTGTAAATGCTTTTTTGCCATTGATTCCCAGTCCCTCTTCTCCACTCTCCCTCTTCCCCTGTCCAGCTCTTTAATGGGGACGACTTTGCTCCCTCCCCTGCTATTCTGGGGCCTTCACTGCTGGGAGAGAGGTTGCTATCAGCACAGTGCAGCAGCAAATGGCATTAACTTGTGACTGACGTGTTGATCAGCGCCTCAAGACCAGAGTGTGGAATTATTGACTTCTGATTAATGAATTGAATCTTCTCTGCAGTAACCCAATCCCCGTCATCCTAACGGGTTATTTATTACCACTGGTAGACGGCTCATCATTGGGAACGCAGATTCTGCCTTTCCAGGAGCCTTAGGGCCAATATCTGGCTTCAATCATGCCCGTAGTATTTGAGCTGAACCTTGTCTCCCTGGACAGGGATGTGCCACATGGACACATGGACCTATTTCCAATTTAGTGAATAGACCAGAGGCTAAGGAGATGGGAGTTCCTTTTTTTTCCCACTGTTTTTTTTTTTTTTTTGTCTTTAAATGGATGAAAGGATGGATAAATGGATGGATGGTTGGATGCAGAGAGAAACTAATTTTGGGTTAGTATAGAGGTCGTCCATGGGTTAGAAGGCCTGAGACCTCCCTTTTTACCTGTTCTGAAGCATCCAGACAGACAGTAAGGATCAGTTCTTACTCATGTACACTGAAAACAGGTTTGCTGCAGCAAGAGGGATTTAGGTTAACTACACACAAGAACTTCCTGACTATGAAGAGAACTAGGCATCAGTTTTTAAATGTGTAAAATAAAATATGCTATTACAAAGGAAACTAATTATACTGAATTACAGTTATCGAAATAGTGAAAAAAGAAATAATAAGTTCATGGCCCCAGGTTAAGAGTCCCTGAGCTAGGCTATCTCCCTCATTTAAGAAATGAAACTGAGATCCAGAGAGAAGAAGTTACTTGCCTAAGGTCACACAGCTAGTAAATTACAGACACCCAGGATCTGGCCCAGCCATCTGACTCCAAATCCACTGCTTTTTGCACAACACTGTCTCTAAGGTGTATCCCCAACCCGGCCCCCAGAAGAGACACAATCTGTGATTGTTTAAGCTTAGGTGGGGACAGGGAGATATACTTGGTGACCTCTGACAGGTCAGTTATCTCAACAATTCAGCATTTATTAAGTCCCTGTTCTATACAAAG